TGCTCGTTACTTGGGAGCTCCATTCCCACGTCACTATAACCCCCTCAGAGAGAGCCAGATCACCTCCCTTGTGCCTCCTTTTCTCCAGGTTAAACATCCCCAGCTCCTTCAGCTGCTCCTCATAAAACTTGTTCTCCAGGCCCTTCACCAGCTTTGTTGCCCTTCTCTGGACTTGCTCCAGCCCCTCAATGTCTCACTTGTACTGAGAAGCCCAGAACTGTTTCTGTGATGGCAACAGATGCGCAATGACTTCCAACTCCTCCTGGTTGCTGTCCATGTGGAGCGCATTGGTGCAGAAGCACTTCAGTTAGGCTATCAATGCCATCATCCTTTATGAGTTTTTGGATGTCTGATTTGGATTTCCTATTGGCTTTTGAAGTGCTTTAACCAATTAGAAGGTTTCTCGGGAGCCAACTGGGCACATATCTGGGTTTGACTGCTATTGCCCTAGAAGATCTTAAAGGCAGCTTTTTTTTTTAAATTTATTTTTGCCAATACTTTGACGCTGAAAATGAGATTGTTCAGTTATTTCCTACTCCAAATATTGGGTAAAACTGGATTAAATATTTAAAGACAGTAATTGCTGAAAAATATGTTTTGTAACGCCGAATGATGCATAATTAGCATTCCTAGACTTACTATTTAAAATATGTCTGGAAAGCATTCTAATGCAGAACTAAGTGTCAAACATGCATTTAATTTATGTTCAAAAAATGCTGCTGGCACAGTCATCCACTTAGGAACAAGTGATTACTTGACTACTGAGCAAACGTGATACTAATAAATGGAGTATAACATCACATAATTTTCCTGTGATTCTACCACAGAAAAAAACGTGGAGGCCTTTAATCCAAAGTAATCATTTTCCTGTTTTCATGCACAAGTTGTACAGTTTCACCATGCTCTGTGGAAAAGCAGCTGGAATTACATACCCAGTGTAAGCAATTAGTATCCAAGTTTGTACTCGGGCAGTCAATGAGCTCAGAAATATTTATGCATTTGCTTAACAGAGCCAAAACTACTTACTAATTTTTCAGTGTATCTATGCCCTATATAATCATGAAAATCATGCCAGTTTAATCAGAATTTTATGCCCAGTGGCGTAACTTTCAGTCTTCAGTTTTAACTGGTGTGCAGCTAGCACATAAAATGAAATTGAAAAGGCAAAACTGCATTCAGCAGAGCACTTTCTTATCCTCCTGCACAAAATTAGAAATTTGCTACAGAGAGCAGAATTACAAGTTTCATCTCCATTGCTCAATAACTAATTCAAACTGGGAGAAGCTGTATGTAAAATAGTGGGAAGACTGATATTTTCATTACCACATCTTATTAAAGAGAAGGCGAGTCTCATTAGAGGAGGTGCTAAATGTCTGCAATGTAAATATCTAAAGTTTAAAATCACTGTGCTCAATTTTGGGTCTGACCTGCTTCATTAGGAGAGAAACTATGTGATGCCACATTCAGGCCTTTCTTGTGACAGCTTGCTATCACTGTAGGCAGAGAAAGTATCCAAGAGGCTGGATGCTCCAGCACTGGCTGTGGTGTAATCCAGGAGAAAACAGCAGCTGGTATCAGTTTTGGAAGTGGGAAGATGAACAGGGAATCATCAAACAACTACAGAAACAATGCTGGGAGAGAAATTCCTATAGAGAGATCGTGCGAGAAATTAAGTGGTGAAGCTAAAAGGTGACAGGAACTCAGAGACTCGATGCACCATTTAACATAAAATTAATTTCAGGTAATGCTACTTAAAATAGAATGTCTTACATATGTTATCTTACCCATTATATAATAACAGGAAAAAAATCCATTGTCTGTAAGTCATTCATAATACATACTGAGGAGATCATGTATCACGGGACACACTTGAAAAGGTTTGCAAAGTGCTGCAGTATCTGAGATTATCTGCTCTAAGACCTGGCAGAGGGATCATTTCTTAAGTTAAAATTCTCATTATTACTTGAAAGGACATTGTGGTACTTGGAAGGAGATTTTTCATTCTTTGAAATTTTATTTTTGTATGTATCTGTAATGGTATTTTATCTAGCATGATAATTTTAATAGGAAGGCATTCAAAACAACAGTTTTACTCCAGACTTCCCTTCAAAATCTCTATGATTTTTTTTTCCTCTAGTTAACTGTATATATACTTAATATTTATTTGTCTATATATTTATTTCTCTGTTTATTTCTATGGAGATATATTAAATAAGCTATCAAAATGTTTCTGTAGGAATTTAACAAATGTTATTAATATTTAGAAAAAATTGTTATATTCTACACTTCTATGTTAATATTCCATTTTTTTTAACAAAAATAAGAACATAGATACTCTCTTGATCATTAAAAAAAAACATAATTGTGAGAGGTCGCTAAGAACTATGCTATAGTTTAAGCATCTTTTTGTTTGACTTGGATGTTAGAATTTAAATTATGCCTGGGAAGCACTTCCAAATTAAAGCATTCAAGACCTATTTCTTCATAAAATTGACTAAAATAATTAATTTCAATATAAAGCAATGGGAAGAAAAGAAATAGCCTTACTGAGCTACAATTCTGGCACCCTTGGGGGAATGGGAACAGATGGTTTTACTACAGATCAAGAACTGTTCTGCATTATTTTTCCTCACTGTCTCTTGTCCTGTCTTTCAAAGCCAACTCCTTCTCTGGACCAAAATACAGATTTTTTTTTTTTGGATATTTCTTAGCAAGATGTGTATACATGTGGGGTTATGAGATTCCATACAGAAGGTTGCATGAAGCCAACTGAGCCAGAAGTGAGATTGTTGTTCTGCTCTTGTGAAGACAGTGGTGCTTCTCTGCTTCTCACAGAAACAATACCTGCAGGAAAAGGATGGAAATGGATCAGAAAAGTTGGCCAGTGGCTGTATTGAAAATATTATAGGGAATCAGACTGCATATAAACTGCATATATTCTATCTATGAATTAGATATAACATAGTGAGACAGCTTGTCTCACTAGTGCTGGATACAAGTTTTTAGCACCTGGTTGTGCAGAACTTGAAGTATTTTTAATTCTCATCAAAGTTTGTCGTGAAATAGAGGATATGCCTCATTTGCATCTTGTCATGGGAATTAGTCTTTTGTTTATGGACTGTCTAGAAAACAGCCTAATTCTGGCCTGAAAGGACTCAGAGAAGAGAAAGATATTTCTATTGTGTTTATTTTTCAATTAAATACACTTTTTCATCTGTTGAAAATGTACAAAATAGATGAATAGTACTGTAAGGATGTTTTTATAGAATTATATGAAAACCTTGCAGTGCTCTCTGTCTTATTTGTAATTAAGTATCTCTAGAGAGTATGCTTAACTTTTTTTTTTCTGTATTTTGGCATGAGAGGGAGATTGGATCTGTAAGAAATGCATACTGTTTGGTGTAATCTGGAAGTAAAACAGAATGTATCCGAATTTAAAGGAATAAATTAGCTTTTGTAGCATTATTTTTCAGTGCATTAAGGGCATATTTAATGCTGTTCTCATACTCTGTGTGTCTTAGCAGATGGAATGATCCCACTGAGCAACCTTCTCTGCTTAGAGTTTTCTACTCAGCAGATGACAGTTTAGGTCAATGATTGTTTCATTTCATGTAAAGACAAAAGAAAATATAGGCAATGTAAATAATAAGGATAAATTAACATTATCAAAGGGAAAAAACAAACTTTAAAGGCTTCAGAGGTAGAAGAGATCAGTTCTCATCAATTCCTGTATGTTGTTTTTGTCTGTGAAAGGCAATTACTTTTGTTTTTTCATTTCTGCTAAGATAAATTTGGACATGTGAGTGTTAAGTATTAATGTAGACATTTGGGTCTTGAAGACAGGCAAGCAGAACATTAGCTAATTGCTTCAAAGATAATTTTTTTACTGCAAAACATGTCAAATTAAAATTTTTCTCATTTAACTCTTTAATAGATTTTAAACAATTGAAGTTTAAGTAAATAGGCTTTTTTATTCAAAATGTTTTCCTTTTAAAAGTTGTTTTAGTAGTTATACTTTACTATACATGAAGATGACAGCTTAAAAAATGGAAATGTATTGCTTTCATCAAGGTGTATATATAAAGTATTAAATAATCATTAAAATAAATTAAATAAATTAAATTTATTAATTTACTACATCATTAAATAAGCATTGTAAACCAAGAAATATTCCAAAATAATCAAATGCACACCTGGCAAGGCAGCTGAAAATATAAGTACAAACCAGTTCTTACTGTGTCAATTTACCCTACAAATTAATGAAATCACAGCAAAAATACAAAAGTATGTGGAGCTTCTTTGCCCATAGAAGAACCATTGCATCTCACTTTCTTGAAGAAAGCAAAGTATGGCATATCCCACAGAAGAAAAACATGACAAAAGCATTTTCCATGAGAAATGAGAAATAGTCACATGAACTAGATGAAAAGGATTTATTCCCATATTTGTAAAATTTCCAGAACTACTGGCTTACAGCAGGTGGTAACCTCCAGGACAGTTCAGCCCCTTCTCTAACATCTGGTGTTCTCTTACAAAAACATGATTGTCAAATAAATAGCACTGGAATCCTGGTCAAGTCAACCACACTAGTTTAGAGTATTATGTTCTCCATTTCTGACTTGAATCTTCCTTGCTTATATGAAGTATAATAACTTAAACAGAACTAAGAGAACCTTTCACTTGAGTTTTGGGTGTAAAGCTGTTAGAACTTTGAGTATCTACTGAATTTTACTTCACAGATTAAATAGAGAAGTCATCAGTTTACATGCCTTGATAGAGTTTAGGTATATACACTGCATTCTAGGCACTTGCCAAAGTGCATCTTCATGTTAGGGACAATTACTTCAGAAATTGCCTCATATGAATTGGGAGCAAATTAAAGAGGAATCCTTTTGGTCTAAGTTTAGGATTTAGGTATCACTCACCGTGATTACAAAGTCATTTGTGAATCTTATTCATTGTGGTTTTTTCCTTTATGTATCCTTTCATCTGTCTCTTTACAGATTCTTCAGCGAGAAGGAGATTTTCAGCACTGGCTGGTGAGTATGCTTGAGGCTTAGCTATGTTTTGGTGTGGCATTTCTCTGTGTTGCAAACTCTCAAGGCAGGGACAAAACAGTGGAGACCACAATTTGGTTTAAGCTGACTGTTTCACAACTTCCCAAACCTCATATGAATAGTTTTGCTGTCAGTAGAAGTTGTTTCAAATGCTCCTAATCTTAATTAACACTTCATAAATTGTGAGATTTTCAGTTTTCTCCGTCTTATTTTTTCAGTACTTTTTCCATGAGGCATGCTTTGAGGTTCACAATGTTTCTGGCTCTCTCAGGGAGGGCTAAAAAGAAATCCCAGTAGATATCTGCTGCTTCATTTTGCATGGAAAAGGAACAAGACTTAGGGATGATGTCTTCTCAAGCTAGAGAGTTGTAACAGCTATAGTTACCAACCTGTGAAACCTGGAGTTTTCAGGTAAAATACTCCTGAGTAGCTCTTCCCTTCTTCAGTAATCAATGATGTTAGAACAACCTGTAAAGAACACGAATGCTTGATGATATTTACCAGGCCTTGCTACTCTGAAGACTGATCACAGTCTTACAATGAAGCCATTGAAATGAGAAATGCCATTCAGATCAGGGATGTCAGCAACAAGCCTCATCCTGCAGATGGATGGTATTGACTTGCCTTCAGCTAACCTCTTCTTGGTGTCCTTTTCAATGGCTGAGATTATTATTGACTTTTTAATTAATTTATTCATTTTTACTTTTTTTGAGTATTGATTTTTCTTCCTGGGAGTTTGAGGAAGCCCCTTAAGCAGCTGATCTTCATTCCAAGCTGGCCCTAGAAGCTGCCTGATGGGTAAGTCACAGAAGAACCCAGAATCTGTCAGCACTGGTGGCTGCAGCTGCATTCCCAATTCTGTACCACTCAGAGAGAAGATGCTGGTTTAGGAATCTGTGTGCACAGCTCTGCAGAACTCTGACTGGAAACAGAGTGAATAACTGAACTGAGCCTGTAGGCTAGGAAAGGTGACTTTTTCTTCACCCACTGGTTGTTTATCGTTGTTAGAGTTACTAAATTGAAAATAGTTATTTTAGAACTGTTTTTCAAATTAAGCTACAGTTTAAGAATATGAGATATACTTTTTACATGTTTCAAAGAACAATGTTGTAATAAAAGGAAATGTTAACTTGTAGATCTTTGAAACATAAAGATCTCTGATTATGAATGCTGAATGTTTTTAAACTTATTGCAGTAATGTACTGAATGAACAGATAAAATTCTACCACTTGGATTCTCTAAAGTGTAAGCTACTATCATTAATCTTTCAAAAGAATACTGATCTTTTACACATAATACTTGCAGCAATATCAAGACATCTCATTGCTGCACAGCCTGTTCTTTCAAAAAAATATGCAAGTGTGCTGTCACACAGTTTCCTGACAGTTAACACCAATATGTGTTTGAAAACTCACTCTCTTATTTTTAGAAATTACATTCGATAAAAGATTATTCTCTACATAAAACATATATTTGTATTTTGGTCATAGTTTGGAAGTGAAGTTAGATCTTAGTACTAGTACAAGTTTATTTCACACTAAGCCTTCAGGCAGTGTATCTGCTCATATGATTAGGGTTTTTTTATGTTTGTTTGTGTTTTTTTTTGTTTGCTTGTTTTGTTGTGTTTTTTTTTCTTTCTGAAAGCAATACATGTCCAAGGTATTTTTGTCCTTCAGTTAGAGGTTATTTGCTGCACTTCAAAATAAGTGTCTCTTACATGGTTTACGAAAACTGATTGCATTAAGCTGAAACCAACAGTATCTACTCTGATTGTACCCCATGGACTACACTGACCCAAAAGTGTTCTCCAGCCAAATTACTGGACAGCGTGCAGGTTATTGAAAAGTGCATCAATAGATGTAAGATTTGAGCTTACAAATAGTATATATCCTTAAAAATAGCATTATCCTTCTGGAAAAGATTCAATAACGCCATTTCATCTGTCTTCACAGTGCTGCAAAGCAAGTGGTGGGTACATCTGTCCTAAGGAAGAGCACAGACCTTGGGGTTTTTTTGTGGGATAGATGAGAAGTCTCCTTACCTGCCCTGGAGCCCAAGATTTTATTCCCCACGCAGCATGAGATGTAAACACAAACTCAGTAACAAGGCTGAATTTAGTTCCAAATGCTGCACTGGACATCGAGGACTGGGTGAGTGCACTGTTAGACTGCAGAATCCAGCAGAATTAAAACTTGAATTTTTTTTACTGGGAGAGTGATATTATAAACTAGTTTTTTGTTTGTAAATTATCCTTTCTGTTTCAAGTGGCATCTGCTAGGGTGATCAATATATGTGTTATCTTATTTTTGCAAGTTTGCTTTGGGGAGCTCTCAACTGTAATTATATTTATTATTATTATTTGCTTGGACAGACTGGATTTGCAAATTTGGAATGTCAAGCTTCAGACTTTATTTTTAACACTTGCTTTCACATATGTGTAGTGAAGAGTAACTCTAGGTTTCTAAAATGAGATTAATCCCAGTGTTGGCATGATTATTTAAGAGAGAGAATAAAGTGGTGTTAATGATAACAGAGAAGAAAGCAATGCTATTTTTAGGGAGAGATTGGATAAAAAAGGGAAATAGAAGGGTTAGAGTTAACAGTGATATGTGGAGAAGGCTGACAGGGAAATAGACATGCTCTTACAGGGAAACTGAGATATGGTGCAGAAGTCCAAGAGAAGTAATTTAAGTTGAGAAAGAGAGCAAAAGGGGAAGAACTCAGTGACCACATACAGCTGATTGTAAATGTAGAGAAGGGATAAAGAGTTTGCTGAAATGCAGTTGAAAGGCAGTGACTGTCATGAATGGATACAATATCCTTACTCAGGATCAGGAAAAATACCTGAATCTATAAGATGTTATTTTCATGACAGGGTTTTGCTGACAAGTAAAAGGAATAAATGGTAATAAACATTTACTAGAGGTTTCTGTTGTTTGCCAGAAGCAGAAATGCTTATATAAAAGAGCAAAGATTTTTATGTTTTTTATGTGTTTTAAGATTTTTATTATTTTTTTCTGGAATGTACTACTTGTAATTTAGTACATTCTCAAGCTGAAATAAGGTCCCCTAATTCACAGATCCAGACTACAGACAAATTATAATTTTTTAATGATAAATTACTAAAATTTTTGAACTTTTAATCATAAAATTGCTACCTCCTGATGTTTTCTACTGCCCACATTCCATTACAACATTTGGACAAGAGAGTAGAGATAAAATGAGTCCAGACGTGTTCTATAAAAAGGTTGTCATCTTTCCAGAGCTTTTGAGACCTCTAGTGCATTGTGGAGTCTTAAACTTGTATTTAAGTGGCCTAATTTCATTAGTTACTATGAGCCATTAATATTAATTAAATTTTAAAAAATTTAATACCTGGTTCATTTGATCTTATTATTTCATCACTCAATTAGAAGGTTGTCCTATGTTCTTTCCCAATAGTTTTATCTGAAATGCAAAAGGAAAAGAGAAAGAGAACAAAAAGAAGCTATTAAATAATTTATCAACTATTATTTTGATTTTCTTTGAGGAAACAAACCCCCTGTAATATTAAGAAATCATCCTATGTCATATTTTCTAAACGAAAAAGTTGTGAAAATTCTGAATTGACTATTTTCAAACTTTTCTACCTGACAGCAACCATTTGTACCTCTAAATGATGCAAAATTAAATATAGTTATATCAAAATATTTTAAGAATATATCCTTAAATTAAATATAAAATAAATAATATTTAAAATAACACAGTCTGTTCCTCAGGCTAATCTGTTGATGAGCTTACTGACTGCATTAATTATTCCATTCCTGTCTTTTGGTATAGATGTGATGGGTGGTTATGCTTGAAAGAAATGGGAGATATGCTAAAATTCAAGGGCAGCGGGAGTTGTAACTGGGATCTTAAGGCTGAAAATGAGAATACTGAAAGCAATCCTCCCACTAAGCCTTTCAAGATGATACAGTACATATGCAAGATTTCATGCTGGTCTTTCAAATAGAGCTGAGAGACCTGATTTACTATCAACTTGTTCAGCATGAATTAAACAAACATGTCAGCTGACCAACACCACTGACACTGTAAATAGCATGTCCCTCTGGTCGGGCAGGTAGAGGGGGCTTATCCTGCAGAATTTACTGTCTCCCTTGAGTGCAATATTGAAAGAGTGCAGAAACTGCTGTAAATTCCTGATGAAATGCAAGCATAAGTCTGTTTACTATTAAATGTGATTTACTGCAGTTACATGCACTTTCCCTCTCCCAACCACCTTGTAATTTTTGTACAAGGTACAGGGATTTTAGACAAATAACAATACAAGCTTTTTATTTGGAGTCAGTGCAGAATAACTTGCATATAGAATTATCATCTATCTATCAAAGCTCCTTTTAAGCTGTATAACCTATTTTTATATTTTTTTAAGAATATAAAGGTTTGAAGTGAAGATGAAAATTTCAAAGAGATCATAATCAAGTATCACTTAAAAACTGAAAACAGTGTTGACTTATAAGCTACTTTATGTAATAAATGCAAGGAAGACCTACCCTAGAGATTATTTCATGACAGTATGGAGATAAATGGAATCACATTTATCACAGAATCTGTAGAGTCTCTCCACTAGTAATGATAACAATTCTGATGTTTGTGTTATGTATAATGCATTTTTATAAAACTATGCTCATGGAAAGTACAACTGGAGATTCTCATTATCAGAAAATGTTATCAATTGCTTGTATATATTATTCTATGCATCTACATAATTTTGTGAATGGCTAATCATTCACTTTGCTCAGACACAAACTTGACTTTGTGGTAACTTTTACAAGTCAGGAATTTGCTCTCTATAAATCTTATTTTACTTAGATTGGCATAATTTATGCTCAAAAGTCTCAATACTTGGAAAGTTAAGAAAGGAAAAATGTGCATTCAAGAATGTAATTCTTATTGGATGCTAGTGCTTTGTGATAATGTTGAAACTTCTTGTTCCCTGGTCTCATTTTTGAACTTCCTGCCTTCCCTTCCCTACTCAGACAGGTTTTACTATTTTTGAGTGCAGTATGTTCACTCAGTAGAAATGCAAGTACCTGCTTAGCCACAATGGGTTTATTAGCTGTTTTCATGAACCCTTTAAAGAAATTTAGACATTTGATCATTGCTCAGTTTTGCAGGGTTTCGTTTATTTGCATATTGTTTTAACATGCAATTTTTATAATCTCTGTGGAATTACGTGATGGAATGTAGATTTTGTTCTGCCTTCACTTGTGCCCTTCTACTTTATAACCAGAAGTACATTTCTGATCTGTTAATTAGATACCTGCTTACTTAGGCTCTGTTCCTGGTATCAGATTTGGTTTGTCTTTCTCTTCACTGCCTCTCTTCTGTATTGGTCTGGGACAGAAATTTAAAATCTTCACCTACAGTGGGGTTTTTTCCCTCATGTCTTTATAAAAGCGTAGAGGTTTTGATTCGCCAATACAAGTCACGGCAGTAATCCAATTTGTTTTTCAATTGTTTCTTAAGGTATTTTAGGCTTCCTTCAAGCAGGTAACCTATAGAAGTGGATGCTTGAATTTTTTGAATACTGAATTAAATCTGAACATTTACCTCTAGCTATTATGTCAACATTGCCGATTTAGACACTGATGATTTGCAGACTACCAATCCTACTGATGGAAGTGTGAGTTGTTACAACTAAAGTTGTACATCAACTTTAAATTGTTAAATTGTCATCCACATTTCCATCTGCGTTTGATTGCTGAAGCAATATGGTAATAAAGACATTATTCAGAATTTGCATGCCTGAACTTCACCCTATTATCCTGTTTGGATAATAAATAGCTGGCCTCTTAAGAACAACACTGAGAATAGCAGGCAGACAGTGGAAAGTGGTGAAGACTCAAAGTATCTCTCATCCTGTTACACTGCCTCAACCCACGATGGGGACTGAGTAATCAAAACTTATGAAATACAAAGAATCTAGAAAAGCAACCCCTCCTGGTCAAAGTTCTGGAATATAATACTATTTCATCAATAAATCTTTTAAGAACAGCTGCTTAGACCCAGCAGAATTATTTTTAGAGCTCTGACCACTCCTGTCACAAAAATTTTGCTTTGCAGCTTTGCTTGCTCCACTCTGCACCCAACAAAGTTTCTGTAAGAAAAAAACTTCCTTCCAAATTCTAAGTTAAAAATCTTACCTTGTTTTAAAATTGTAGATGTTTGATTTCTTATTTTCTGAAAGAGATTTTTTCAATGTAGATACTGTGATAATCCACAGCAGACTGGTACAAGTCCTTTCATGTCCCCATTGGAATATATTTTTTCCCCTTTAAAATATATTTGCATCTGTGTACATTGATCAAGAGATCTGATTTGACTACGTAATGGTAAACTCATCGAAGTATTTTGAAAGACTTAGCTGTAAAAGTTATAACGTAGCCTGTAACACTAAATAAAAAACAATCTTGGTATTTCCACTTACACACCAATAATCTTGAACAGACTCAGTTTTATACTTTTCCTTGGAAATGACACCAAGAAATAGGAGATGAATATATTAGAATGTGAGTAGTTGCTGCTGTGCTTTAAACATAGTCCTTATACTTGGGCAATGTACAGAATCTCCAATGTTCTCCTTGTTATTAATTATGCCTTTTCTACTTTCATTCTAGAGACAGAAGTACCATTGGCTCACAAAACCCTCAATATAATTCTGCCACATGGCAAACACAACAGGTACAAGAAAATGTCTGCAGCCTTCTTTCATAACAGTGCTTTCTCCTTACTGCTTCTTTCCCTGTTAAGAATCCAGAAAATAGAGCTGAATCTGAGTTCCCTTTTTAGGCAGATGATTAAACATTCTCACCATTATATAATACGATTTCCATTTTATTTTAAACATACTTTGCATGATATAAAAATATTGATCACAGTGAGCTTTAACAATTGTTACTGCTATAAACAGAAATGCTGCACAATGGTTTTAGTGGAAATAAATTATATAGTCATTATCTCTTAAAAAAAATCACAAGAAGGAGAACCTAGGCATTTGGTCATTGACAGAAAACAAGTCCTTAATGAGTTCTTTACAAAACGCGAACCCCAGTTGTTTTCTACATTTGCTTTCCACGTCTTGAGAAAAGCACAAGTCTGTCTCTGAAAGCCCCACAGGGTCTCTGGTGAACATTTAATTCCAAATATTAGCAAAGTTTCTGTTGCTCTTTTGTTCTAATGGAAAAGTGTACACCAGCGTAGCAAGTAGTGCTCTCCTGGCTAATTCATAAGTGGTCTTTTCCAATATGTAGGTACACAGCGGCACACTTCTTCACTGAAGTAAAAGCCAGCGTCGCAGCGTCTCGTCCGCACTGTACACGGAGGTCTGTAACAACTGAAGAAAGGGGAAAAAAAAGTGGGCATTAATATAACACCATCATTTATAGTTAACTGGAACAGAAAGCTTTGTGCCTTCACACTGCTATTTCTCAACAGAATATTTAATTTTAAGTTTTTATGTTCTTACAAACAATTTCAGTTGAACTATTCTTTACAAAAGACAATGAAACAATAACAAATTATACTGAAATTATTCTATTGCAACAGATACATATGGATCTTTTTTTATCACACTGCTGGGTGTAGTTGCATTCTAATCTTGAGTACTATTTTTTTAGTTTTAGTTTGAAAATAGGATATATTTCTGTACTCAGATTGGTTAGTTGTAACCTACTGCATGCTGCAAAATTGGAGGTGGTAATCCAGAATCATGTTATAACCAAATCTCTCACTCTCCTACCCAGGACTGTTTCTCATCTTATTGACTACTTCAATAAGCCTGAGAGAGGTTTGTCTATGTATGTTACACTGTGACTCTGATCTTGAAAATGAGAACATACTTCCTTTCAAGCTGCAAATTCCCACAGCCAGTCTCTGAGCCAGTGGGAATATTTCTGCATTTATATTGCATCTGTGTGCATTCTGAAGAAAAATCAGAGCCTATTTATCATGATTCTGATAAATCTTAATGGAGAAAAACAGAATTAGTGTCTATCTGACTAAAATAAGTTTAATAAGTAATACAGCATTGAACCACAAATCACATCGCCGTGTGCAGAGGCAGAAGTTTTCCTCACCAATTCCTTGACTGAAAAATAGAACTTATACAAAGATAATATCTCTGGTTGTCCCTGAACCCTTCCTTTTCCTATTTAATTTTTCTATTAAAACAAGAACTTGACCCAAAATAACCTTACAATAACAATGCTAAATACTTTGTGGTGTATAATAGAGACAAAGTACAAGTCTGTGATTTTTTCAGACACTGGCAATGAGTCAAAGGACAAAAGTATATGTCTTGAATTTCAGCACAGTTACAGTTAAAACTTGTATTGAAATAATGTGTGCCAGTTTGTGAAACACTGATATTATGATCTATTACGATAACTCTTACTTGCATATATACAGCACGCTCAATTGTGCAATGTCACTCTCCTCTTCCCTTGGTAATTCTTGTTTCAGGCTTGTGGCGACTCTTGTTGTTGCAAATAAGTTAGTTTGTTGTGTGCCTGTTTTGGATACTAAGTTACTACTTTGCAATAATTTGTTTATGATAAGAGGCCTGCACTACAATTACATTAATTCCCACCATCCAGTTCCACAAATGAATCTGGCTATGAGGAAAGTGATAAGGAATGAGGAAGATTGCAAATGGGACATTTATTAACTAGTCACATCATGTTCAGTGTTTTTAATGTCATTTATCCCAGATTTGTTCACCACTGTGGTCTCTGTAATTAAGGGAGTAACATTGTTTTGTGCCACCTAACAGAAATTTGAAATCCGTGTAGCAGCTCATGGGAATCTCTCAAACCCCTAGAGATCTATTCCCCCGAAAATTTGGAAACAGTGGTAAAAGGCAACGAAAAGGTCTGTGGAAGGATCTAATATTCTAAGTGAACAAGCAACCAGTTAGGAGTCCATTCTGGGAAAAAGGTACGCCACAGAGATGCAGTGGATGAAACACTGAACTCACCTTCTTGCTGTCTCTGCCATGAAAGTTCAGACCATTGTGTACTAAATGGCAGCAAAATTAAATAAGAAGAAAAAGCGGCAAAGCCAAACTCTTCCACATCTCTATGACTGTACACAATGAAAAGCACTCATGAAAACATTAACCATGAGGAGTTCACTTTGCTTAGGATTCATGCGTCCTTGTGAACTTCAACTTGCAGCTGGAGTGCTATACAGGACCTCTCCCCTGTGAGTTTGTGTCTAGCAGCAGTCAAGGTCAGGTTACTTCAGTCTTAGCCTTATTTGGGACATTTCAAGACAGCAAGAAAGTCCCTCTCCTCCTCTAAAGTGCTTAACAGATGAAGTTCCCAGTTATCTGGCCCAGCCAAAACTGACCAAAATAAATTTTAGAGGTGGTAGCACAAGGTGAATAGCAGCAGAGTCATTGTAACTACATAAAATGTGGTTTCCTTAGGAAACTGCTGAACAATAGATCAGGTCTTTCAAGAGATTTGGTCTGAATGCTGTTTACAGAGTGGTTTCATGTGACAGAGGTCTGTTTCAATGAGGAAAATCTGAGCACACTGGAGCTAAGATAGATGTTTAGTCACTATTCATAGAGCTGGGCAAAGCAGCAGCAACCTTCTCTTTATGGTCAATAATTGTGAATTTTTTGCTGTGCAGAATGCCCAAATTGTTACAGTGGGCACTCTAACAACTCCAAGAGATGAAATGAGGAAATGCTACTTCTTGGGCTGATAAACAGCACAATCACCTTAAAAAGCAGTAGGCTAAAAGCTTTTTTTCCCTTTCCATCCTGTGCTTTGTAGATGACTTTGTATTCCTTTCATCTGAAGCAGGGTGTAACACTAGAGGCAGAGGCATTTAGCTACAGTGCATAAAAATATTACTGCTTCAAAACCAGAAGCTACAAGCATTACTTGTAGGACTGGGAGCTGTCTAGGACATGACTGTAGGATTATGCTCATGTCTAGGGCTCACACGTCTAGCACAAATCTCAACAGAATGGTACTTCCATTTATTTTTAATAAATTTGTATTGGAAATATATTTTATACAATTTAATTTATATAATAAAAATATAATTGATGCTGTTCTAAATGAGCAAGGAATCTTTCAGAGATAAAAAGGATGCTGCAGGATTTTTATTCCTTTTAGAAACTGCTTGTGCTGGACAGAACCAAAATGTGAGAAACCTATGCTAAGTCGTTTCTTAAGGAGGAGAGATTGTCCCCTCTAACAGTGCTAACATCTACAGGACTATTGGTTCTACAGAAATAAAGTAACAACATATATAAACCTTGCTTTCTGCACTCAAAGACAAAAGAAAAAGATCTTAGAAAAAAGGTAAAAGCATCCTATATCATACTGTCCTGGGAAGTGAGAAAATTATTCTATCGTATTCAACCACAACACAACAGAGAAAGGCTGAACTTAATTTCCTCCCTCAAATACTAAGTCTTTGAATCAACAGAGATATTTAAATCAACATCAGATATTTATTATGGCATTTTTTAGCTTAAGTGCCTGACTTCCCTAGTTGTGAATGTTCTTTCAAACTGTTAGTGGGTTATCTTTGTTGCACTGCTGGAAGTGAAACCTACAGTGCAAAGGCTTTGTAATGTGTAAAGCTTATGTAACCAGGCTGGTTTCTTTCTCTATGCAAACATAAAATTGAATTAAAGAGAAGAAATAATTTCTGATGTTTCTAACAACTTTTCTCTGTCACTTAAAAGGCCAAATACTCGGAAACAAGTAATGCCAGTTAATAATCTGTTCCCTCACTTTAGAGATTTCAACACAAGTATCTCTACTTGTATTTGACATTTTTCTTTATAAAGATGAGCAAATGTATTTATATGTATATATATATATATTTTTAATTCCAACTAATTACATTTTTTCATTTTCACCAGGAAAAAAAAAGGAAAAGGAAGAAAAGTACCAGGAGCAGCCTAAGAGCACCATAAAGTAAACATGCTTTAGGATACTTATTATGTCTAGTACCTTCCTCTTAGAGATTATAGAAGTCATAGAAGATAAAAACTGAACTGACAACAGGCTTAGAGTTTAGGACTACAAAGCAATTCAACAAGTCAGATAATGTCACAACCCAAAATTTTAGGCCTTGAACACCATAAAAGAAATAAAAACTGTGGTTTTACCTGCATGTCTGGTGATGGAACCTTTTTCCTTTCAAGAAGCATTTATTGGGAGATTCTATACATTCACAGACACATTTTGCAGGATTTAGCGGCTGATGTCTAGGACAGGTCTTTTTACATACACACTGGCACCTCTCTTCATCAAATTCCTTGTTGGGCCCGCAGGATGCAGGGATCAGTTTGTTTCTGCATGTGCACTGACACGATGATCTGTCTAACTCTTTGTGAGGTCCACAGCTCGAGGGCCGCACGCCTCCTTTGCAGACACACTGACAGGTTTCTTCATCCAGCTCCTTGTTCGGTCCACAGATATGGAATCCTTCAGACGTGTCTGCAAAAGCAGCAGAGAAGTCCCACTAGTACCAGAATTTTGTGTCTACTCTCTCACCTATTTTTATGTGAAGAAATGAGCAAATCCATACCTTTTATGGCGTTTCAAAAACAAGCTTTTATCAAAAGACAGCAACAACCAGTAGTAGCAATGATACAGAAAACTATACAAATAATTACTACAACTTCTTGTCTTTAGGAGGACAGTTGACGCTTTAAGGGAACGTGCTTACCAGATTCTCCAAGGTAAGAAGAGAAACCAAAATCATGCTGTGACAAACATCTGCAAATTTGATTATTCCAAATATGATTTTTCGGACAGGTCTTGTTTGCCACGTGACACCTGTGAAATTAAAAATGCTGCTGATTTACTACTATAAGAACTCAAGGGGGAAAAAAACCTATTTCAGTTGTTGATTGCTTTAGTTTCTCACTATTGCAAATATCTTTCTAAGAGTGTCAACTCATTCATAATTTTGTTTTTTATTCCTGTCAAGTCTGCTACTAAAAGTTCTCCCCACTTCAGAGATTTTCAACTATTTGTTGAAGAAACCTTCTCATATATCAAGTTTTAGCTCCAAATTCCAGAAGATGGCATTTGTACTTTGCTGATGTTGATTTGAAACAGACCTAACCGTAGAACATAAGCCTCATATAGACAAGTATAAAAATTCTTTTGCATGCCAAATACTGCATGGTAACAGGCATCATTTTCTGTGTAGTTTTTTGAACTACAAAAGTGTTTTCAAATTTAAGATGTCAAAAGACAGCAATAATAGTTTTGTAATTAATTGTGTGGGCAAAACTTTAGAAAAATAAAATCAGTTTATCAGATTCCATTCCACTTTATGTGAAAGTTATGTGCCATTAGCTGACACTTTCTCATCAGTCACTCATTCTGGCCAGCCTTCTCGAATCTAAAGAATTAGACCTTCAGCAGTGATGCCTCTTCACTTTAAAAATAAAGACAATAAACAACTGAACGCTTTAGTCCTCTTTTCCTGCAGCCAAGGTAGTAGTACCAAAGAAAGCAAAAACACCAAACAGCAGCTGTTGCCTTTTTAAAGAATGAGTGAACTGAGCTGTCTGGTGAATCACTGATAGAATATTTATGTGTATTATCTCATCTTCCTTGCTTGCAACTTCTTTATCACTACAGCTGACATTGCATCTTTGAACAAGTCAAGCCTAACTTCATGTATCCGGGCTATGTAATTTATTCATTGTTTCTGTAGTATTTCTAAAATCCTACTTATCTTTTAAGACAACACCTATATTACACATTTCATGCACTTTTCATTCCCCTGAGCACCATTACTCACACATTCAAAAATGCAGGTGCTGGGATATTCTTCTGTGATCATCATTCAAGTAGACCACTCCCCTTCAACATGCTAAATCACTGCACTTGTAAAGACTGCTGCGGTTTAACATCACCCTGCTTCACCATGTTTTATCAAACTAGTGTTTCCTGATTTCATCCCAGTAACGACCTCACTCTTACATATGTTTCCTTGGCATATGCTTCCTTTAGCCTACCTTCCAATTCTGCTTGAGAAATTGTATGGATAATCTACAGACATCTTATTGTATTCTGTTAAAAAAACCCAAACCAAACCAACCAAATTAAACCAAACAAAACAAAAAATCAAACCCTCCTGCTTTTTTATTGCATGAAGCCACAGATTTCAAACTTAAATACATTAAGTAACAGTAGAGAAGACCTTTATATATTCTGATCTAGTACTATGTTGTCTCACCTCTGTTGAAGTGTGATTCCTTAGTCACAGGACAAGCTGCTACCTGTGAGTGCTGGTCCGAGTCTGGTGTCTGTACTCTCACCTCCCTCAACTACACTTAGCTGTCTCCTGGCTAGAATAAACTCTTGCACTGATCACTTCAACTGCTCTTAACTTAGAAACACAGAGAAGCTGGAGAGAGTCAACATAATTTGACTTTCTTACTGACTCTTGGGTTTGTTCTTTAATTATCTGTTAATTATGCAATTAAACTAATTATGAATAGATTTATTTCCAAGCTACTGTTTATGATACATGTTTTCATGAAAAAATTAGATAAATTAAACTCAAAGAGAATATAATCTATGTTTAGGAATGTGTCAGAAAACATCCAGACTTAAACAGATTGAAACCACTGAGGAAAATGCTTAACACGTCTGAGAAATTTGTTCTACTCACTCACCTTATTAAAAAATGTCAATTCATTCCAATCTAGAATTTGCTTCCTCAAAGCAACTGTTAGACTGTTATGGGTTTTTGACCTCCTAAATATTTATACATCATAAAACCATCATTCAAAACTCTAAATTAAGGAAGGAGATCTTCAAGTGTTTTAATAACTTAAAATCAGATTTCTGGTGCCAGATTGTTCTGTGACATTTTTCATTCAAAATCACACACACAGAAAAATCAGTATGCTACTTCTATGGAATGCCAATTAACCCTTTATTTCCCCCTTCCATTCTATGAGAGAGAAATATTGTCTCATAATTATTTACAGAGGAATTTTTAGCTTTTCTTTTGAAAAGAAATTGATTTTGCTGATTTTTTTTTTTTTAAGTCTCAATTGGACTGTACCTCTTTCATCAAGCAAATCCCACATACATTACTCTTCAGTTTTAAATCATGTTGCTCCAGTTAATCTACTAGGTAGAAAGGTGATGTTAATTTAGTAAAATTGTGTAAAATAATGGCATCTCCCTTGCAGAACGCATTCTGCTACTGCAATGCATAGCTCGCCTATGCTAACTGTGAAATCGTCCCAGCAGTATTTTAAATCTGAATTATACAGGTTTGCTCACAAAGTGAAAGGCAAGACAAGGCTGATACTTACTGAGTTTGTGCTGCTGGCAAGGAACGCCGTATGATGGAGTGGACCTGTCGGTACACGTCCAGCTTGGACATGCAGCGGCAGGACGTGTGGTTGGCGAAGCTGACGGTGACGGGCTTGGGGCCGTGGGACAGCGGCACCGTGATCTCAAACAGCTACAAAAGCCAAAAAGCAAAACACCTCTGTCACAGATCCAGATAAAACTAATGGAAGGACATACAAAAAACCCATCATGAATTTAAGCTCAGATTTTTTTGCTGTCTTCCAGCATTCAATTATATTGGTGAATAATTATTATGTGCAAAATTAATATAATGGCTATGATGTGACAACTAACATTTTTTGTGTTAAACCCTGTTACATGCCAGTGTGCTTACTACAACATTTAATATACGAGAGGAAAATGTACAAAGAACTCATTTTTCTAGAGGAGATGACTTCAAACTGGCATCATTTAAAAAAAATCCAAAATGAAACTTTTGGAAGGTCTTGTGAAAAACTGAAGAATAATATAAAGAAGACTAATACATCAGTAGCACAATTGCAAAACCTTATGTAAAACAGCAGTATAGTGGACCTTGATCACACCAGTTCTGGATGAATAACATTTGAACTTCAGCTTACCACATTTTAAAATTTTTTAGTATTTGTGTCTGTGCAAGTTATATGCCTATCCTGATAAAATATATCTTTAATTATTCTTTTTTTTCCCAAAGTATAAAGAAATATCCACTACTGATAAAATAATCTGTAAGTGAATGAACAAGATCTTAATTTTAGTGGAAATGATAGTTAAACTGGTGAAAGAGAACAACTTCAGTGATGTCTTGTAGTGAAACTGAACAAGTGATAACAGAAGAACAGTTTTCAGTTCAGGACATCTACTTCATCAAATTAAGTACGTTTTGCTATAAAATTCAAGTCAGGACAAATACACTAGGTCAAGGTCTTAAAAGCTGGTTTTCAATAGTCTTTAAGAAGGGTAACAGTGCACTGCTGCCTTTAGGTATTCGGTCATTCTTCCAAATACATTTAAGAACATTTCTTCATCTTCTTGGGACATTACTACCTTTAAAAATGGTCGTTGGGTTTTTATTCCAGTTCCACTTGCTAAGATTGTATACAAAGATCAATTTTTAGCTGAGATGTATTTGCAATGCTCTTTAAAAATCTGTAACTTTAGAGTATGTCATATATGCAGCATGCAAATGTAATCAGAATACTGGTAATTTTAAATGTTTCAAAATATAAAATACAGCATTATGGGATGTATTCACCTGCTTAGAAAGCTGATTCTTAGAAGATATATATGAATTGATGGGCAGAACCAAGAGTATGAACTTAATTACAATATTACACATGTAAGGAGAATTTTTTTCCTGTTGTCTCGTGACAGTATGACCTTGCTTTTCTGAAGCTGAAATAAATCCTGCTACAGAGAGAACTGATAAATCTTAGAAAGTGAAATAAGCATGAGTCTGTGAAGGGACCTAACTGCAGCTAGAAAACAAGTGCATGTTCTTCCTGTATTCTTGCAGTAGACCAATTTGCCATGCTGCAAAGCATAGCAGACTCCAGACCACTGGAGATGGCAGCACAGGACAGCTGCTACATTTCCAAACCACCTAAAAGAGGTAGGTCCTTGCCTAACAGTCCAATTCAGCTTCAGGAGATCACAGAGAGAAATTTCACAAAAACAGCTGAGATGTATCGATCATGGTAATGGAACTGGAAATGATGGTGAATGTGAATTAATCTTAATTTACATTTATCCTTCCACTGTGAAAGGTATCAGTTTGGAGATGAATATTGCTAACAACTATTCCTATCACCACTTCAGAGGTGCAGTGAGAAAAAAGTCTAGTAAAACAACATAAAGGTAGACTAGTTTCCTTGACCTCCTCAAATTACCCTCAGTTTGTTCAAATAAATTCTCTTAATAGTAACATATTTTACCTCTCCCAATAGCTACTACTGTTTATTCAGTGAAACTATTTAAGTGAATAAACTCAACAAGCATCAGTTTTGTCTGAACCTTCATCTAAGTAAAACATTTCAGATTATGTAAAACCTGGCCATGAACAATGCTTTAGGGTTTTGATAACATCTACAATTTATTTTTTGCTCCCCTTCCTCATCCAACAGAACAATAAGCTCAACATCTGCTGTCACTATAGGGCATGTCTGGCAACATTTAACAACCAAATGTCAACACGTAGAAAGAATATTTCTATGAAAAATGCCTCATAACATCTATGTATGAGGCTGGTTCTCAATTCCTTTTCTGGCACCACTGTTGGCTGTGGCTACTATTGCTGCTACCCACATGGCCCAAATGGGAAATTCTTCTTGGAAACCAAATGGCTTATAGTTCTGTTTGATCCTCCATTCTCTAAAAGATTGGATTTACTGCATTCTTAGGAGCCCAAATCTTCTCTTCCTTTCCAACTTTAAATTTTGATAAAAAACATACTAATTCACTCTAAAGGGAGAAACCACTTCCTTCAGGTACCAATCCCTAATGACAGATATTCGGTACCAGAGACTACAATGAATGAGCTTAAGTCCCCAAAAGAACATAAGATCTGATAGCAGTAGGGATTAGAGAAGTATTTAAAAAGTGGAAAGCATTTATTGCTCTGAAAAATGTTAGCAGTTATAATAAATAAAACAGCAATTCATGAGTATTGCTCCAGTCAGAGGCAAATAAAAGACAGAAATAGCCTCAACTGGCCCATGCTGTCCTGTGCCTTTTTGCCACCAACACTGCATTTTCAAGAAACCAGTGGAAAGCATCAACAGAAGCAATAAGTGATTGCATACCTAAAGAATAATATATATAACAAAAATAACAAATCAACCAAAATCGAAAAAACCAAACAAACGCAAAACTCCCCCCCACATAATCACAAAGCCCTGTCCTCCTCCAGAAAAGCTGCTAATTGTAAACATAAATCAGTTACACATTGTTAATCTCAGAGTACAGCACATACTGACAGAAGCTCTGTGTAACTGAGGAACAATTGAAAGCCATTAATAATTAAATGCATTTAATAAGAAATTCAACACCTGCCATTCAGCCAGTCTAAGGCTGTTTTATCACAGAAAGCCAGATGGGAGGTCTTCCAGTTTTCACACCATTTCCAGGGTTTCTCTTCCAAGCACTGTCCACAACCTAGAACTTAACATGATTTTAAACTTAAAAGAAAAAAAGAAAAGAATCTAACAGAAGATGGAAATCTCTGAATGTGTTGCGAAAAAGCACTATCAGAACTCCTGAAAAAGCCATCTTCTATATATTCTCACTGATCCTTAGAAACATAGAAGGGTTTGGTTTGGAAAGGACCTTAGAGATCATCTAATTAGAACCCCTCTGCCATGGGCAGGGACACCTTTCACTAGACCTGGTTACTCAAAGCCCCAAAAGGCATAAAATTTTGATCCATGGCCTTGATGGCTTCTTCTTTACACTAGAAGGACTTCATAGTGTACTTAGCAGAAAAACTGAGGCTTTTCATACAAAGCATTTCTTTGCTTCACTGGCTAAATTAATTTATTCAGCACTATCATCATATGTGCCAATATCCATTGTATCAGCACACATAAAATTATTTATATGTTCCCTGACTCCTAAAATATATCAAAACTGTTATTGTGTGGGAAGGCCACCACTCTAGATCCTTTTCAAATACAGGATTTATGTATGTTTTTTTCCCCAAGATTTACATTAACTACACCATGTTCTTCAGATGGCCTGTGGTTTATTTTGGCAAGTTTCCCTTAAATTGATTGAGTCTAAGTTTCCATCACTTGTGATCTTTGCACTTTCTAAAGTGTCAGTAAGGCCAGCCAAATATAACCAGTGTAACACAGTACAACGTGTCTAGAGAGATTTTTAAACTAAGAACATAAGACTGATTTCAAAACGGAACATGTCTATATTGAAAAGAATGAAAATAAACTATTTGAGTAATGGCACATCATCATTACATTACTGTTGAACTTTCTTGGAAAACTATTTCAAGGCTTATGTGGGATATAACAACAGGTATTTTATATAATTAATTAGTATTTGTTTAATATGCTTGGGTTCCTTATTGTATCTTTTTCTATTTTAATTCCTTTCTTTCCCCAGAAATATTAACAAAAAACATTTAGAACTTATATATCTCCCCCTATTAAAACTACCTATTATACCACTACAATAATTAATCTAACAGAAAAATGCATGGGAAAAGGTAGAAATTGTAATGTTGAAAACAATTGAATATTCTTGTGGCATATCTCTGAATTGTGAAAAAGAACACCATATACATCCCAAACTGGGCAAATAATTTCAAGCTGTTAACTTGTTTCCTGTGAGAAAATCTCCTCTAAATCTAATTTTGATCTGCTTGGATAGATGTTCTCCCTGGAGGGACTATAACTGTAACTGTGAGACAAGATGATTTAGGACCCTTACAACAAGTGTTCTGAAAGAAGCCAAAAAAATGTCCATCCTGACAGCCAAGAGGGAGAATGGGATGAAACAGTTCTTGGACATCTGCTCTCTGCTTCCCTTCAACCTACAAGCAAGTGTCTGTAGGTGGGGCATTAAAAAGTGCTGCTGAGGGACAGGCTGTAACTGCACCAGGTACTTGCACAATCCTTGAAACCACTCTTGAATTATTTGTGCCATGGAAACACAGAACAGCTGTTTGATAGCAAATCAGAGAAAAAATCCAAACAACCACACCACAAAATGAAAATCCAACCAGTCACATTTCCCAGAGATCCTTACCAGCCAAGCCACCAGCTAAAAACTGAGCTACTGCAGGCAGGAAAGGACCTACTGCAGTTTGTGAATTAGCCTAGGGAGCCTTCAAATATTGTCACAGATCTTGTACTGTACTTTATTAAGAAGTTGTCTCATATCCCAATCCTGCTTGTATGAATATCCCTTAGCAACTACAAAAACAGGTTTTGGGAAAAAATTGTATTAAAAACATAGCAGAATACATTTCTACTTTTCTCTCAATAAAGTTAAGTAGCTAGAAAGGAGTAACCCAGCCTGAACTAGAAACTATTGACCTTGCTCTAGACCACTGCCACCAAGGCAATCTGGGAACATCCGATCTGGTCCATTCTGCTGGAAATCAACTATTTGCTCCCTATAAAAATAATTTCTGAGTTTAGTTCTTTCATTTTTAAGTAATTTTGATGAAAGCTGATATAATCTTTCTTTATATTTTAATGTCTGGAACCAATGCTAGAGCTTGCCCTCACAGTAAGAACTCCTGCTAAAAAATTAGTTTCCCATTAAGCACTTTTTCTGCAGGGTGAACAGTATGAAGTTACCTTATGGAGTTTATGCACAAAAAATAAAGCTAAAATTTGGTGAATTATGAGAAAACTATTTGTACTCATTTATTTCAGGAAATTAAGGAAACTGTGGTGAAAATAGGTGTGTAGGGTACCTGAATTCCACAGAAGGTCTTGAATCCAATACTTTTTTTCTTTCTAATTCTCATCTGATACTGGTTAAACTGTGGTCATATAATTGTAAAAAATTTGAGATGGTGACAGATGAAGATATATAGTTATAGGTCTGTTCCTTTATTAAGGTTTCTTTTAAAACTGCATTCTGTCAAGGACCAGATAAAACTGGAAATCAGAAGCAAGACAGAAAACTCATAGATACATTCACTTGCTTTTACAGAATAAGTAAGAAAACAAAACAGTGTTATTGCCTCTTCTTTCTAGTAAGACCTTTAACATTTTCCTTTCCAGAGTCTCTCAAATCTTTAACTACTCTACATCAAATCATCACCAATAACATCAAGAACTTCAAAAAGAAACTCAGTGCTAAACATTTTCTACTGGGTAAAAAATTTGCTCGACAGATATGAACAGTAAGATGAAGAGAAAGATTTGATTTAGCCCAAACTGACACAGTGCTCAAAAACCAGGAAATCTGTGTTATGTGGAACAGCTCTCTCTGTGATTAGATAATTCTTTATTTTGGTAAGCTAAATTTTACCAATACATGGAAGGAAAAAAAAAGTCCCACTTCTTGGGTTTTAAAATGAAATTTGTATTTGCATCTTTCAAGCAAGTGGAATTGAGAAAGTGGTTTCTCCTAATAATGAGAAAAATGGTAAAGCTTGAACAACGTCAGTGTTGTAGTTGTCCTCACTTAAGCTATCTGAGCTACATTACTCCTGTGCAGTGTGGCTGTCTACCAGTAGCCTAAATTTAGGATTGAAAATTCTTAGAAAGATATACCATTTCAGACAGAGATTGGTGAGAAATGAGGGCAGAAAATGCACTCTACAAAACTAGTGGGTTTTGCTGTTTTCTTTACATTCCCTTTGTAAGGGGACGTAAAGAAAATTCCCTAATTTCCCCTGAGAAAAGGCTCAGAGCACTAAGAAGCTTTTTGATAAAGGAGTGACATTTCTAAGGGCTTCAATTTTATAACTGGCTATGCAGTTTTTGGTCTTCATTATAAATATGTACTGCATCTTCAGCTAGATGAATCCTCTTGAAAAACGAAGCCAGATTTACACTAAAAACTGAAAAAGCCCACAACTAACAAAACTCCTACCAAATACTATAGCAACAGGATAATACCCTAGGAAACTATTTTAAGTATGACTATTTTTACATTATTTTTGAGGGAAATGTTGAAAGATAATAGTGATAATTCCTGTGTCTACTTAGAATAATGTAGAATATGCTGCTTCAAAGGCAGTTCACAGGCTCAGTGCATGAACTCTGTACACTCCTACCTGATCCCTAACCCTGAACTTGAAGAACAAAACCTGCACATACATTGGAAGAAGATGCATTACAACAAAACAAAGAGGTATATAATGCTAATATGTCTTAATACAGAAAAACACCCTTCCTAAAAGGCTTTATTTTAAACATGTATCCTGCCTGCACATGTCCTGCAGCAGTCTACACTAATAAAATTACAGGCTAGTTTTCCATGGAGTGCTTGCCCCATAGAGACCTAAGGCAGATGAAAAAAAAAAAGAAAAAGAAAGAATTAAGTTTCATGGATAGTCTCAAAATTGAGAATCGGACAATTTTTCCTCTGAAAAATAAAAATGTTTTGGTGACAAGAGCGTTAAACACGTTTTTTTCCCAGGTAGTAGTGTCTTCAGCTGTTTTTCCTGTGTATTTTGGAATCAACTACTTCCTTAGCAATAAGAAGGTTTAAATTATGCATGAACATAAATGTATTTGCAAGGAGTACAAGAACTGTAAAAGTGTGAGAACTTACTGTCTTGCTGATGTAATTTGTGCTGATATTCATACACTGAAGTCCTTCACTATTGCAGCAACCTCCACATCTGTAGATTGACACACATGGGGGTTTAAAGAAGGTGTTTGTAGTTGCTCCAAACTCTTTTCCCACATCCACACACACTTCACGTGGCGTGCACTGAGTTTTTCTCCATTCAGTATCGATACCTGCCAAGTTACAGGGAATTTCATGTTATAAATTAACTGTTTAAAATCAAAACTATCTTACAGTAAATTAGGATTCCTTATTAAATTTTAAAACCAGAATATGAAATTCTAGAGTCACAGCCTTTAGTCAGTGAAACACACATCTCTCTCTCTGCTACCTTCTAGCTGATTTTTCTCCTTCATAGGGACATGACATATCATCATGGAGCAGATGAAAAGTCACAGAGGAACTAAAAGGGAATCCAACAGGCAGGGGAGATCTTAAAGCACAGAATCATAGCCTGGCTTGTGTGGGAAAGGACCTTTAAACATCACCTGCCACCTAGTTCAACCCTCTTGTAATGAGCAAACAGATCTTCAAGCAGATCAGGATGCTCAGAGCCCCACCCAAACTTGAATGACCTTGGATGTTTCCAGGGATGGGGCATCTACTACCCCACTGGGCAACTTGTTCCAGTAATTCACCATCCTTACAGTAAAATTTCTCTTCCCTTTATCTAGTGTGAATCTACTTTCTTTAGTTTAAAATTATTACCCTTGCCCTGTCACAACAGGACCTGCTTAAACACCTCTCCTCATCTTTCTTACAAACCCCCTTTAGGCTCTGGAAGGCTGCTCTAAGAACTCCTGGGAGTTTTCTCTTCTCCAGCCTGAGCAGCCCCCGCTCTCTCAGCCCATCTTCGTAAGAGAGGTGCTCCAGCACTCTGAACATCCTCACAGCCCTCTTCTGGACCTGCTCCAACAGCTCCACATCCTTCTGGTGTTGTCCCCTGAGCTGGACACTTTGGGCACAGCGCTGCTGATGGGTCTCACTGGAGCAGAGGGAGGGGCAGAATCACCTCCCTCCAAGTGCTGGCCAGCAGCTGAAGCTGCACGTGTCCTTTCTTCACCTGGGGCAAGTCTCATCTTGAGTAAAGTCTGCACTGTAGCTCTGCACACTTCTGCAAAGTAATTCTAACCAGCCCCACACAGTACTTCACTCGGATATAATATATTATAATCTAAAAATTTTTTATACTTAATGTGAAATTCATTTAAATACATGTTTAGTTGTTAACTAGAAGGGTATAATTTAAAGCAAAAGTATTTAGCAATTATGTATAGCATGTGATTTAATCTGATGGATGATTTTTGTGCCCAGATTATCCACATAAATTTGGGCAACGACTTTGTATCATGTTATACAGCATTTTACTACATATAATCTTACACTGAACAGCCCTGAGACTTACAGCTGTAAGTTTATTCCGTTTTGGCACTAGATTTTGGTAAGCTATTCAACAAAAATGGAAATTTTCCCTTATGTGTACTTTAAACTCTCCATTAAGGTACATGATTTCCAATATCATGTCCAAAAATACACCTCCTGCCATAAATCCTGCATTCTCTGCCTACAAGCACTGGCTTAAACTGTAAGTTAATACATTTTCATCCAAGCTATCTGAAACACTGAAAGGCATTCTAACACACTGGTTTGAAAACTGTTTTGCTTGTTTTAGTACAACATCATTACAACTATCCTCGTGTAACATGAAAAAGTTAAAAGTGGATTATTTGGCATTCCAAAGTCATAATGCATAAGAGAAGAAAGCACTACCAGCTGTGATGCAATTGCAGAAAATGAGAAGAAATAGTTCAATGAGCCCAACTCTTAGCATCCTCTTTGATTTCTGCAAAACTGTTATAGCCTCTATGAAGTAGGATTCCTTATATTTTAAGACAAGCACTTCACTTTCTCTACTGAGCCAAGAAAGCACTTTCATATGATGGACTTACCTAAAATATGTCTGCATTGATTTGTTTCATTATGAAAGGCTTACTATCAAAGATTTTCTACTATAGAAAGCACATCCTATCAAACTGCTGATGTTGGCTTACTGACAATGCTTAGCTTTTAAAGCGTTTTTGACACAATTGAAACGCCTTCAGAATTTCATTTTTTGTGTGTTGGAACACACAAATATCCTGTACTTACTTTTCAGGATCTCTGCATTATAGTGCGCTGCAGCAAATTTCAGGGAATCATCTGATCTTGTGTCAAAGCTGGTGTGCTCCCTGTTGTGTTGCCAACCTCCTCTCCTCAACTGACATTTGAATATTTTCCAGTATTCCGGGTAAAGCACTGTCATGAGTTCATCCACACTGGATACAGACCGCAATTGCTCTTCCAGGTCTTTGCTTCCATGAGCCTGCCAAAGTAACATGCAGGATTAATTACTTTCTCTGGTACACAAGGTTTGCTGGAAACTATCCTGAAAAGCAAGTCATGCATTGTAAAATAAAGGGGTCATCATCATAAAAACTGCTTCTATCATTCAACACCAACATTACTATATTGACAAACAATGAAATGTTTTGCTTCTTCCACCACTTTTTTATCACTCTTGCAGTTCAAAATATCTGTGTGAGAAAGGAGCCTACACAATTAAGCCTACACAAACACAGTTTGCAGATGATATATATTATATTTTTAAAAAGCATTTTTATCCTGGAAAGGTAAGTTTTTGTGATGAAATTTTGAATGCTTGAATCCCCAAATACTTAAATGATGTTCAGATTATTTAATATCACATACTCCTGAAGTAACACTAATTATTTACCATTTAATCTCTTAGTCCCAGAAAACAGAAATTCCCAGAACTGCAAAACCAGTTAAAACAACCCCCAAAAAAACAAACAAAACACTAAACAAAGAAACTAAATCATGTTATTTAGTAGCATTCTAGGAAAAATCTTAATAAGCAAACTATATTATAAAGCACGACTTCCTAAATCAGTAGAACACGAGGATTTAGGTACCTTGAAGAGTGCAAACCTCACACTCCCTTGCTGTTTCAGGAGTAACCTTAAATCCTGTAATCCTGCTTTGTTATTCTCTGGCCTTTACACAAACTCATTGCAACTGTAGTTTTCTCAATGACTGAGATTTACATTCTATTTTATCGCTTATCAGGAAGATTCCTCTGTTCCTCTCAGATGAAGCATACCGCATCAAAAGACTGGTGTTTACGCCCTGCTCATTTCTCATCCATGGATTGCTGACTTCTCAAAGGGAAAAGGCAGTTTGGAGAAAGAGGAGTACTGAAGAACCTTTAGCCACCTTATCAGCCTATATGGCCCTTAGATGGCAGTATGAGACACAAAATACAGAGGTACACGAGTACAAAATCCGTCAACTGGCTGGAGACTCTCTACAGTTTACTATAAAATTGTTGCTCTACTCCAAAAACCTTTAAGAGTGTAAAACGTCTAAATGCAGAAATGCGAAGCTAAATGAACTGATATTTACAATTTCTTATTCGACTCTGCCACTAACAAAAAAATAAACTCTTTCAGTTCAATGATTTTGAACATTACATGAGTAAAACAGGTAGTTTAGAACTAGCCCAGCTGAATCAAAACTGCTCCTTGACTCACAGACAACTGCAAGGGTATAAAATGGCACGTGTGATTTCATCTAGTCACTTATCTGGTGTCAAACACAGCAGAAACACCTCAGGATAAGGCAAATTCACAGAGCTCATTTCTGTAAACACAGCTATACACAGAGCTGTGAAGAGGATGAGGCACTGAACCAGGTCACCCGGAGAAGCTGTAGATGTCCAATCCCTGGAACTGTTCAAGGGCAGGCTGGATGTAACTCTGAGCAACCTGGTGTGGTGAAAGATGTACTGCCCATGGTGGGGGGCCAAAAGTCAGATGATCCTTAAGGTCCCTTCCAACTCAGGCCATTCTGTGATTCTATTATTCCAATACCAATTATAAATTTGTTTAATTTGACAAAGTGTTATGAAGTTAAAAAAATGTTCTCACTTAAGCCTCACTAACCACAGTGTCCTTGCAGATGACTGTCCTGGGAGGTTTCAACAATCAAGACATCATCTCAGAAATGTGCCCATACAGACCTTCATCTCTTTCCTTGTCACCATAGGAAGGGCCATCCCTGGCCCAAGACAGGCATCAAGCAGATTCTGAGAGTTTTGACTTCAAATTTAATGGTAACACAGAGAATTTCACTCCCCACCACCCCTGCTCTCCTTGCAGGATGCCACTCAGGGTCTCAATCAGTGGGTCACAAACAAAAATCCAAGCTTAACAAGTAACTAATTTGGCGACTCGCTGCTTGCACCGCCTGAGCGGTGCGGAGTGCAGGGTTTGAGCAGCCTCACTCCTGCCAAACTGTTTCCTGAGGGTGCTGCAGCACATGGCCCTTGAGTAATGGGAAGCAAGTTGCTGCACCAGCACAATGCCAGTGTTGCAGATGTGCGTCTGCCACGTGATGGGAATAGGCATGGCACAGCGTGTATATCCTGTCGCAAGGCTGGGAGACAGGCTATTATGTAAAAGGCAGAGGAATAAAACCTGTGGTTAGCCATCCAGCAGCTGATCCTAGAAGTCCTAACAGATCATGGGGGTAACATGGAAAGAGAATTCAACCAAAGCTTTGCCACCTTTGATGAGTCCTTGAGCCTGCACAGCCCCTAGCAGACAAAATATCACATTGGCTGCTATGTTACAGATATTCAGAGTGCAGCCTAGAGCATCAGGAAAATAAGTAATGAAACTCAGTATTACTTTGTTGATAAGAAGTCAAGCATGAAGCAGGAAAGCAAAATTATTAGAGATAATGCATGCTGACTAATTCCTCTTTGGTCAGGCAATCAAGTTGTGTCTTTTCAGCTGGACACAAAATTTTTTGTACATATATTAAATATGTACGAATAAAACTGAAAATATGAAGAAATTCATGGCTTTAATTAAGCTTTGTATCAAATATAATAAAGTTTATTTTACCCTGGATATTCCACAGGCCATAGTGCCATGTGCCCACAACTTGAGACAAGGCAGTTGTGGTTGTGTGTACAGATTAAGGAAGGAGAGGCTGGAGAGCAGCACTCTGGAAAGGGACCTGGAGGTCCTGGTTGATGTCAAGTTGAGTCAGCAGTGCCCTGGCAGGCCAACCCTCTCCTGGGAACATCAGGCAAAGCATCACCAGCTGGACAAGGGAGGGGACTGTCCAGCTCTGCTCTGCACCAGGGCAGCGTCACCTTGATTACTGTGTGCAGTTTTGGGTGCTTCAATATAAAAAAATAAATTAAAAAAAATCAAGCTATCATCCAAAGTCTGGTGAAGGGTCTGAAGTTATTGAGAACACTTGGTTTGCTCAGTCTAAAGGAGACTGAGGGGAGACATCACTGTGGTCTTCAACATCCTCTCAAGGGGAAGCAGAGGGGTAGACATTGATCTCATCACAAAACCAGTGACAGGATTTGAGGAAATGGCATGAAGCTGAGTTAGGGGAGGTTTAGTTTGGATCTCAGGGAAAGCTTCTTCACCCAGAGAGTACTTGGGCACTGGAACAGGCTGCCCAGGGAAGTGGTCACAGCACTAAGCCTGTCAGAATTCAAGGAGTGTGTGGACAATGCTCTCAGGTATATGGTGGGACTCTTGGGGCTGCTGTATGCAGAGCCAGGAGCTGTACTTCAATGATCCTGATGGGTCCCTTCCAGCTCAGCTCATTCTATGAGTCTCTGAGTACTCCCTAAATATAAACAAAAAGGAAAACAATTTCTGGAGCAGATATATAAAATTACTTTTAAAAAATTATCATTATTGCATCTGAAATATTTTCTGCTTAGCTTAATTTGCTTGTAAAGATGGCTTCAATTCAAATTTATACTATGGAAAAACAATCTGTTCACCAGAAGACTTTTGTTCTCTCCCTTCTTCCAATTTAGAAAGAAAAGGAGAAAGAAATTCATACATATACACTGCATCTAATGCCCAGAATTAGGGAGGGGAAAAAAAATTTAAAAAAAACCCACACAAACAAACAAAAACAAAACAAAAAACAACAACAACAACAAAAAAAACTCCCTTGAAATGTTGCTTTTTCAATATGCTTACCGTGCTACCTTGAGATACAGATCAACAATCTCTTCCTATACATCTATGTATTTTTTAGCTGCAGTAAATTACTCTCATATTACTCTCATCTGTGGGAAACTGTTTAGAGGAACATATGTTTAAGGAACTTGTGACTTAATTTTGTAGAACAGCCAAACATCTTGTTGACATGAACATCAAATGAAATCTTAAGATCTGGATGATTATAAGAGTGTGTCCTGAACATAGGATAAGCATCAGATCATTAAGGATTGTTAGAAAGAGTTTCCTACTTTTTAAGGGAAGAATGAATTTGCTTCTGTAAATATAATAGTGGTCTGGAAACATTTTTGATTTTGTGCAAATTTTGGTAATTTGACAACAATATACTGTCTTGGTCCATATCTTTTATTCTTTGCTCTTTTTAAATTATGCATTGGCTTGTAGTGTGGGACACTGGATTTCCATTGCAAAACAATTTTGAGACTTAAACACATTTAGAATATATGACAACACAAAGAAAGTAACATTAACAAAAATGTACTAGATATTAGAGGAGCTCTCATTTTTCATTCTTCTTATGCAAGTGCAGATTAGTGAAGTTCAGAAAGAAATATGGCTTGTAGCTGCACTTACTGCCACCAAGCTACTTCCAACCAACTTCCCAAATGTGAAGTTCAAAGGGAGGGGAAAAAAAGTAACAGAATGTTAGCACAGGTTGTAATAAGAGAGATTCTATGACTTTCAGGACTGAAGAATACTTTTTGATAAATTTAAACAGACAGTTGGTTTTCATATAATTACAGAGCACTCCTGATGAAATTGTGGACCAACTGCTTAAAGTTTTACTAGCAGGAAATAGAGCCAAGAGTGATTGCACAGGAAGGAGTTTTCTCTATCCCATGCTTTTCTATATTCTTGGCATTTTCAAGTCAGTTAAAGAATTGGGGTTTGAACTTTTTTTTTTAACCACCACCACTCCCTTCATAAGTGTTTATCCACTCTGGTTGACCATTCTACTAATTTTTTGTCATTTTTAGCTATTATCAGTGTTGTCCTGCATGAACATCTGAAAATGCTAGAAGGTGTATTCTAGAGAAAGACACTGATTTAACCTTTGACTAGCCAAACACTACAAGATGATAGGTGCTATTAAGCAAAATAACAACCTAAAAATACAAGTGTGAATGGACAACACAATAAAGATACACTTCTCCATTTCAATAATTTCACATTTTTATAAGGAACAGGGGAAGTGCCAAATACATATAAATAAAGGTGCAAAGCTTGATGACAAGTGCTC